GAAAGAGTGGGAAGGTCCCACTCAGCTTTCTACATCTAACATGGCATGTTGTGTGCAAAGACATTCTTGGAACTTCACCTCACATCAGAGGACTTTCACATCTTTAGAAGAAGGGTATGAAGAAAGTACTTCCTCCTTCATTAAATATCCAAAGAACCAACATACCTCCTTTCCACGTTCACTGCCAAGCAACTCCTCTACTTCCTGAAATCGAGCAATAGTGTGTTTGATCCCATGGAAAAGGGATCGGGACCAGTATATTGCTCCAGCCACTGGAGGATGATTCTTGCACAAAGGTGGATCCTTGAATTTCTGAGCAAAGATTTTCTTAACAGTTTTAACCTAGAAGAGAGTAAATATTGCAAGGAATCATTTCTCCACTTGCTTGGCCAGGGTCAGTATCTAACCCAATGTACAGCACCAGCTCTGAAGTTAATGGCAGCAGCAGGATAAAAACAATTAATTTTTCTTTTTGTTTCATGCCTCTCCTGTTTGTGTTAGCTCTATTCCAGGGAATGTCTGCCTTCCTGCATCCCATGGAACTGCTCTCATGGCAATGTTTTCTGTAAGATTACATTTTATCATGAAACTCAGTGTTCTTTAAAATATCAAGACAAATGCTACGACATGAAAAGCTTTCCAACATACAGGCCTCAGCATCAGGAATTATTTCTGCCTTCACGACTGATCTCTGGCACATTTTGGTCATACCATGAACTTGGTTTTCAGCACATGAAGGCTGTAGGGTGTGAAAGATGTGCCTTCTCAGGAAGGACTACTGCTGAACTGCTCTCCACAGGGATCTCCACAGGCCTTGTTGCATTCAGAGACATGCAAACACCTTTCAGTTCCCGTACAGGGCCACACATATACAGATATGCACATTCCATTTCATCAAATTGACCATAAGACTTCTCCAACAGACTTCAAAGTGAAAGTAATTATTATACTTATATTGTAAAACTTGACAATCTTTCAGATAGTAAATGATACTCTACAACTATTTAGACATATTCACAGATTGATAATTTTCACTAGGTAAAGAGCTTCATGTACTACAGAAGAAGTCCTTAAACTTAATACCTCTTTACAGTATTGGTCCAAAACATCAATGAACTTCATCATCATCTGCTGTTTAATTGCTTCACGACAGTAGATGTGTTTGAATTTTAAGAGCATGTCAAATGCAGCTTCTGCTGATCGAAGGCTCTTAAAAGATTCATCAATTAAGTTTTTTGTCTCTTCTTCAATAACCTAAACAAAGGAAGAAGGCCAAGAAATACTATCACTTAGAAATTCATCTTGCAAACCACGATAGGAAGGCAAAAATAAAGTATTTTTTTAATAATAGTGATGAAGCATATTTTACTGTTTTTGTCTTACAGATTACTAGCAAACTGCTGGCTTTGCTGTAAGATACAGAAAATTAATGTTAATTAATGTGCCTGCTGGGCAGGTATATAAATCACAAAAAATGCTGTAACAATTTGTACTTTGTAAGTATTTTTAGCTGAGGGATAAAGGACTGAATCAATGCAGAAATAAAAGTTTTATTTCTTTGTAGGGCATGATTGAGATATGTCACATATAGACTCTGTTCAAGTTGTAGTGATTCTGCCAATGAACAAAAGGTGGGAGTTGGGGCTGTTCAGCTGGAGAAGAAAAGGATCCAGGGAGACCTTAGAGCACCTTCCAGTGCCTGAAGGGGCTCCAGGAAAGCTGGGGAGGGGCTTTTCACCTGAGAGGGCAGTGATAGGACAAGGGGGAATGGTTTTAAACTGAAAGAGGGGCGATTTAGGTTAGATATTAGAAAGAAGTTCTTCACCATAGGGGTAGGAAGGCACTGAAAGAGGTTGCCCAGGGAGGTTTTGGCTGCCCATTCCCTGGAGGTGTTGAAAGGCAGGTTGGATGGGGCTTGTGCAGCCTGGTCTGTGGGAGGTGTCCCTGCCCACGCAGGGGGGTTGGAGCCTGATGATCTTTAAGGTCCCTTCCAACCTTCACCATTCTATGAATGTATGATTCCATGAGTTTCAAAATAAAATGAAACTATAAATAAAACCAACTTTGAAACAGAATACTGACTTAAAAAAACTGGTCACATTGCTCATATTTTCATTGAAGTATTTTTTCCTATCTTCTTTTGCAAACTTACATTTTCTTTACATGAAGACGTTGATATTCTAGAAGGAATTTGTATATAAGAAGTAAGAGTAATCAAGGTCTATGGAACTTACTGAAACTTCTTTTCCAAATTCTTCCATAATTAATTTCCAGTCACGTGTCTTTTCAATGCTAAAAAGGTCAAATGTCAGTTCTTCCAAAGGACTAGTCAGTTCATTTACTTGTCTCACTAGATCATCAATATGCTTCAGATCCTCTGTGACAATTCTCAGTTGAGGAATAAATATATTGTGAAACTCTTCAATGACCTATTAATTCAGAAGAAATTTTCAGCAGAAAGCTTTATCTTTAATGTTTTGGGGGTCTTTTTCTGCCATTTTACACATCTATCTGATATTATTTCCTTTAAAAAATTAAAAATGGCACAGAGAATGATCAATTTGTGCTGTGATTTACATTTCATACATATTTACAGAAGACACTAAGCAGCCTTACGGAAAAAGAAAAACACACTACAGGGCCAACATTTCAGTTGTTAAAACAGAATACTCAACTATTATTCCTTTTTATTCTACTTTTCACATACAGAGGTTTTACATACACAGTCTATAGCATCTGAGCATTGATTTGCCACTAACATTGCTAGTTACCCTGACATAAATTAGCCTAAAGATAACATCTCTCCATCCAGACATTATCCTCCAATTGATGCACTGTAAAATCCATATTGTAGTGTACTGAAATGTTGTTTTGTCTAAAATTAGATCATTAAGCTAAGTAAGTAACCCACAAAAATTGCAAAACTGTGAAACAGCTGTTACAAGTCTATATTTTCATAACAGCAATGTACACAGGAATATCTTTCCTCAACCAGTGCCTTGAGAAGAGGTATTTTATATCAAGTGTTAAGTGCAGCTTTGTTGGAACCAAAGGCACTCACTAAACTAAAGGCTGTTAACATTTCAACCATATCAGAGTAAGACACTGATCACACCATCCCTTCATTTATTGTCTGTATTAGTACCTGCAAAACATCATATAGATCTTGACAGACTGAAGTCATATAATCTGTTTTTTCAAATAAACATTTTTGGTCAAATTCCCAGTGCCTCCCACATGCTGATTCTTCAATTTGGGCACGAACAGCAAAATAGCTTTTCTTCCATTGTTCAAGAGTGCTTTTGGCTTCTGCCATTTTCTGTTTTGCAGCAGCTCTGTCTTCTCTATTAATCAAATCAAAACAGTTAAGATACTATAAATAGAAAGACTATAGATAGAAAATTGTATCTCAACTGGATTAACATACTCTGGTTTCACAGCTTCTAATTACACAAGATATAGGTAAGACTTGTATCTGAGGTCTTAATTTTCAAGGTGACTGACTTTGAAACAAGGTATTTCAGAACTGATTTTTATTATATTTATGCCACTTTTTTACTACTATAATTCTATTTGTTTTAATGATTTATGACTTTTTGAGACAAAAGAGGATAAGCACCTATTTGTTCAGGGCTGATTCACTAATTTATGAAAATTACAAAATAAATTTACTTTTAATTGACCTTCTAATACAAAGTTTTTAATAAATACAGCCTAATTAAACAGTAATCCAGTACTTACTTAAACAGTGTGTGCGTATCCACATCTTTGTAGACTCTCATTGAAATTTCCCTTGCTATTTTTTCCATGAGGGGTGCCATCCATTCATCCTTGCCATAATGGTGTGAGATAATCCATAGCACTTTCAGGGCATTCATCAGTAAAGGAATTGTATCCAAGGCAACATCAAACCCAGTGCCATATGCTATTTTCTAGTAAATGTATTGAAAATATTGCAAATAAAATGTCATGAAAATATGCAGACCCATATTCAACAAACCAGTATTTTTTTCTATAGATACCTGAAGTTAAGAACAATTGCTACTCAAAAAAACCAAAAAAATTAATCATTTTTTATTAAATATAAAAAAGCTAGAGTATATCTTTATGGTTAATACAAAGTAAAAAATAGGCAAGAGGTGATTAATGAGAAATGAAACTCAGGTAACAACAGTTAAAGCTTCACAAAGTTTTCTCAAGGCTACATACCTTCAAATAGCATTCCAGAGTTGAAAGCAACTTAACATTATCTAGAGCTTCCACTTGATGCTTTCTGAGGTCACTTAAGACTCTTTGTAAATCTCCAATATGCTCAGATTTAGCTTCCTGTAATATTTCCAAGACTTTTTGCACTTCTGGAAGCTTGGTCTTTTCAATAAGAGCACTTAAGTCATCATATTTTTCACGCCAGAAGCCAACTTCTGCAAAAGGACTACTATCCTACAAGTAATGTGGAATAAAACAAAAATTCTAAATTACTGTCACACAAGACTGAAAACCTGATCTGATTCAATCAATGCAAAAAAATCCCAAACAAACAGGCAGAAGAAGATCCTTGAAATGAAAAGAGCTTTACAGTCTAAAGAGCACTGAAATGAACTTCTCATGTGGAATATATTGCTGACTTGGAGCTGGTCAAAGCTTATGCACAAGGAACTTTGTAGACATTAAATCCCTCAGTGTGTTTATTGTTATTAATTATATGTCATTATGCATATTAGTCACATATGTGCTTGCAGGATCAGAACCTTACAATTGGATTTTTTTTTACTTTTTTCAAGCAAAAATATAGTTGTCTGTTTAAAAAAAAATCAAATCATTGCAGCTCATAATCTGTCTCTTTGCAGAGTGCAGGTAACAAATGTGCCTTAGTTTTCCACAGTTATCCTGTGTGGGTAAGATCTGCAGTGAGTTACTTTATATTCTATTTCTATTCTTTTTCCCAGAGTCATACAGTTCCTCACTGCTTTTTTTCTACTTTACAGCAATTTAGTAAATGGCTTTCCAACAATCAAATATGAAGATGGATTAAAAACAAGTACAAACCATTCAAAGAGATTCTTGTGAGGAAATGAAGTCATGTCTCCAAGAATAAAATAAACTTCATGTTACAGGCAACATTACCTGTGGAACTTTTTTCAGTTCTTCCCCTAGAGCTGTGGATATTAATTTCTGCCAGTTCACTGCATAACTTTCCAGAGCTTCAACCACTTCTGGAACTGTGGCAAGAACAGTCACTTCTCCATCTATATTTACAGTTGGCATATTGAGTTCAATATCTCGCACTGGAAGAAAAGGCACATAGAATTAACTGTCTTGTTCTGTCAGAATTGGTAAAGTAACATCACCAAAATTGGCTTTATGGCTTCCATCTTGTCAGCTACTTCAGGATAGGTAACATACCACCTGCTCTGCCTATTTGAGAATGTGGCAAAATACATCCAGTTTCTTGCCAGTTAACACAGTGCAAAGAAAGCTGTATTCCTAGAAACAAATCACAAGCTCTCAGCTTCCAAGCCTTAGCCCAATCTCTAACTATTTAGAATTAGAATTAGGGCTTTCCTGAAGAACATTATCAATCTGCCTACTGCAGACCACCACACTCTCCTTATAAAGGCATGGCAGTAGCCTCTGTCAGAGAAAGGATACTAAACATGTGAAACTCTAACCTGCTCTGCCATTGTCTGTACCCACTCTGGGCACAGCCCCTCAACACTGGCAAGCCAGGAGGCATGTTAACCCTCTCTCCTATTCTCATGCCAGACTCTTCAAAAGACTATCACTGATTTCATCCATTTCCCCATACTGCCTGCTGTGCTTCAGGGCAGTAGAAATACCACTGCTGTCAGCAAAAAGAAACTTTAATCAGGTTTGGAGCTTCCCCAGAAACTGCATGTGTTGGTTATGCTATATAAATCTATTCCCAAGTGAACCTTGTTCTGCTGTCATGGACTCTGAACACCTCAGTGCTGGCACAGGCAGGACACTCACTTTCAATTTGTTGTGTAGTGTCCTGAGATACACTTAAGAATTCTTCTGTGTTTGTTGGAATCTCATCCCTGTGTTCTACAGGCTGTTCTTTCCCTTCTGCAAGCTCAGATTGAGGTAAATTCCTTTCCTCAGCATCCATGTTTTCATTGTCAGGAGGAAAGGCAGTTTCCTCAGCCTGCTGCTCACTACAGGAGAGAGATGATGAAAACACCTGCAATTCAAACAGGTACCATTTATTAGATGGTTTGTACTAAAAAAGGAAACAACGGAAGTCAGCTTACTAGCATTTTACTTCAGCATTGTGTATGTTGTTCTATGATTTAATTTAATTGCAATCTCCTTCCATTTCACCTCTTTAGCCTTTCTGCCTCAAGTTCTGCAGGGGAACAGCCCCAGCATGCCTTCACTTCAAGTCTATAAGCACAAAAATAAAGGCATCTGCTGTCACACTCTTACAGGGTTCTCATGTAAAGCCAGGCAATGAAATAATGCTCATGTCCATGGTTTACAAAAACTTGGGAAACAAAATAGTAAGTAAGGATTAACAAAAGCTTCATTTTGGCATAGGAAGGTCAGTCATTAACTATTTGTATTTCTTATGCATAGTCTATATGGTCAACAGAATAATAAATAGGCAAATCACTCATAGCAACACTCAAGACTCCATATATAAAAGCTGTAACACAGTTACCTGTGGAATGGCATTCTTCAACATACAAAGAGCATCATCAGTCAGAGCACCAAACTTTATCACTTTAGGAAGAACCTCATTAGCTTCAGTCAGGTCATTAGGTTCAGGAACTCTTTCTAAACAGCATACAAACAATTAGCATAAGCCCAACCATCTGATACAGAGAAAGCAGTGATTAGAACAATAGCATGAAATCCAAATACATTAAAACTCCAATAAAACAAACCGTGTTTGGAATAAACTAGGTTTGGTGCAATTCATTTTTAAAACCAGGGTTGGTTTTCATAGTGCAGATGCTCATAATCTGACTTTTACAATCCAACTGTATAGTTAGAAAATGTTTTTATGTTCAAACAACACAGTGGCGTCAATTTGAACTCCTATTCTAATGAAGACCAGGAAAACCTTAAACAGAACTGCCACAAAATGACCAAATACATTATCATAATTATTTTTTTTTCATAAGTGCCCTGTTTCTAGAAAAAACTGAAACTAACAGGCACACACAAAATATTCTGAAGCTTCAAACCACCTATGTCGCTGTTCAGTGAGTGCACAGAAACGTTTGTGCTGGGACCAGTCTCTGGAACTAAATGAGAGTTAAAAGACTGTTGACAGTTCCTGGATATTGGTGTGGAAATACCTGCTCACTTTAGTGTAGAAGCTGTTTCCTATGAGGCCAGAGGCAGATACTGAGGTGTGGCTGTGACCAGAAGCAGAGCTACTCTAGATGCTGGAACAACTATTACAATTGGTGTTATGATAAAGGTATGAACTACCAGAGTGAAACGTGCTGCTGTTGTGTATCAGAGTTTGAGACAGGTCAGGAACTCTATCACCACCTTATGGTCTAACTTTCACATACAGCTTCTCAGAACACTTTACACAGTTCTAGCAGTCGTAGTAACTAAATCTTCTTAGCTCATCTGAGTGCAGCATGAAAGCTTCATCCTTGCTGGTAAAATGAGGAAGATATGTAACTTCCCATAAATGTGATGTAAAATGCATTCCTGATTCTTGGCTTTACTCTGAGAATGTTGCTACCCAGTTAGTTCAGCTGGATAGGCACTATCTGCCTTTTTCAGTATGAAGTACTGAGAAATGCAAAGACTGGAAATGCTGAGCCTGCTGTTATTCAGGGCACATACCTTTGCAGTCTCTCATAAAATACACAGTAAAATCTGACACAAATTCTTCAGGAATTTCATCAAGAGCTACGTAGAAACACACTTGGTCAACTTCCTGTTCTTGTGGCTGAAATGGGAAAGAGAAAGGAAGAGATGAAGAAAGTGCTTGCCTGCCATGAATCATTAACCCCATTATTTTACATTGCTATCCAACTAAGCTATTAACAGAAAATATTTCTTAAAAAGCACTTAACTAACAGTAAAAATCATCAGCTTTGTAAACAATGATGACTTCCAGACCAATAGGACTAAAAGCACGAGTACTTGAAACATTAGAAACCAAAAAGTACTTAAATGCCTGTCCCTCCTCTGTCTTCCTGAGAATGTGCAAACATCTATTCCCCTCCCACCTGCATCTCAGCCATAAACATAAAAGTGTAGCTAGAAACCCCAGAATCCTTCCTGACCACCTAATTATGTAAAAGACTTGAGGTTCAAAAGCCTTTTGCTCACCATTCCTCATGCTCCTCCCATGGTGTCTTTATCCAACAATTACTCTAACTTCAACTTTTCTTTTACAAGCAGCTCTGGGAATAGCTGATGTGATACCTGAGTAACTCCCTGCTGCATTTTCTCCCCAGAAATCATAGTGTTTTGCCAAGCAAATCACCTTTGCAACCTTTGTCAGTCAACGTCAGAGACACCATAGACCACTGGTTTTGAATGGAAATTCCTGTCCTTGTAAAATGTTCTGTTCTGCTCTGTGTTCCTGCTCTGCACTGCCCTGCACTAATTTGCCAACCAGTTTTACTGAAACGCCTGCATCCAAAAGACAGCACCTTCCCATCCACAAAGGAACAGAGTGAAATAGAACAGATTTACCTGCAGTGTGTCCTCCACACTTTCAGCTGTAAGTTTTTGCTCTGGTTTACTCAATTCAGAGCTACTAGTAGGAGCTGAAATGTGATCTGACACATCTTCATTGTCTGCAGGTAGCACAAGGGATGTTTTGCTTTCCTGAGTCACCCCTAAGAAAGAGTAACACAAGGGAACTTAGTTACAGAACAGGTATTCCATGGACGTAAGATGGATCCTCCCAATTTTCTTCTCAAACTAAATGATGGAGCATTTTCTTCCATCTTTAGCATCACCTTTCAATAATCAACCATCAAAACTTGGTGTTAATGGTACATATTCCCCTAGCACAGCACGATTGCTGTAGAACTGAATTCAAACATGCAAGTGACTCTACTGCATTCCACAGGTAACTGGGCTTTGCTTAGAATGTGCTTACCAGCATCTTACAGTGCAACTGATCTTTGATGACAAAATAAGCAGATTAACACATTTCAAGATGAAACCACTTTGTAAGAGGAAATGCAAACAATTTTTGTCATGCCAGATCTATGATATGTTGTGCCCAAGGACTGATGGTGAAGACACTGTAAAGCTGGATCCTTTGTGTGCTGATATTACTCTCAAGCAGTAACAAATCTCCCTGCCTTCCTGCTTCTGAGCATTAACCTGCAGCACTTTAGATGCCTCCATCCATAGATGCAGAGTGGGAAGCTGAATTGTGTCATTCCTTTAGTCTACTGTCACCCACACCAGGCTTTAGCACTTAACTTCTGTGGTCCTATCTTTTTTGCACAGTGTGAAAAAAATACACTTTTATGGCTAGAAAATACCAGGCCATGATTCTTCACTTCTGCAAGTAACTGTTTCAGAAACTTCTGGGAGTCAGACAGATACTGACAGCAGACAGAGCAATCTCTGAGCCACGGAAAATCCTTGCTCTCTTCTGACAGCCTTTCTATCCCTTTTCCTCTACTTTTTCCATGTTTTTGTGAAAGGCTTTTCTGCAATATTGTGCTTAAAGTACTGGACCAGTCTTAACTTTTTACAGGATCACCCCTGCTATTGTCAATAAACTACATCAGAATAGAGAGCTTGCAACTCTTAAGACAAGAGAAATTAATTCATTCCTACTAAAGGGAACATTTTCATTCTATATATTTTACTAAAATTAATCTCTAAAAATCTGAAATTATAAAGCCAGTAGAATGCTACACAGCCAAAGCCTGGATGACAGATCTGTTTGTGGGTTGATTTTGTTCATCCCAGTCAGTCTCCTTCTTTCCACCTATTTGGAAACAATGAAAGAACCAAACTAGGATAACTGTCTTCCAAAGAAGCATCCTTATGTGGAAGCTCTTGGGAAAACATTAATTAGGCACACTGCCCAGGGCACCCTCCAAAAATCAGATCAGCTTTCCTGGGAAAAGGAGCTGTTGCTGACACTGCTGGATCTGCTTAAGAGCCACATCAGCCCTCACCCACATTCACCCCCACAGCAGAGAGGCCTGCAACAACCACACTGGCCACTCAAACCACCTGCTCTGCCTTCCAGTGCCACCTGCTCAGGATCTGTGTTACCTGGGCCCTCCTCCTGCTGCCGACCTGCAAGCTCGTTTGTGTCACCCGTGTCTGCACACACACAAAACGGAAGGCAAACACGGCACAACCGTGCGGTGGGGGTGGCACAAATCCCACCAGCGCCCGGCCAGGGGGGAGAAACGTCTGGAAATGGGTGAAGGAGGAAGGATTCGGGACGACGAGGCACAGCCCAAGGGGTGGGGAAACAGAAACAGGGGGACGGGGAGGGGG